CATCATCATCATCATCCTGTTAACACATTATCTTCATCATCTTCATTATCATCCTGTTAACACATTATCTTCATCATCATCATCCTGTTATCTTCATCATCGTCATTATCATCCTGTTAACACATTATCTTCATCATCATCATCCTGTTAACACATAATCTTCATCATCATCATCATCATCCTGTTAACACACATTATCTTCATCTTCATCATCCTGTTATCATCTTCATCATCATCATCATCCTGTTAACACATCATCATCATCATCATCACCATCAATAATCACTGATCAATGGTGGCGGGTTTTCTCAATGATCACTAGAATCGATCCTCTGGGTCCTCTGACTCACCGGAAGTCCTCGTGCACGGACTGGAAGAAAAACCTCACGTGCGATTTGTTGAGCACGTGTTTGAAGTCCGCCAGGGTGACGCGCTGCGCGGGCACGTTGATCCGGGTCAGGTAGGGGGTGTCCTGGTCCTCCAGGTGATATAGGACCCGGGTCCCCTCCGCCACATTGTCCCCCATCAGACAAGACCATAGGCTGGACAAGACCGCAGAGTGGGTGAGACAGCTGCTGAGGGTGAGACAGAGTAGCGCCTGTCTCTCTCTCTCTGTCTGTCTCCCTCCCTCTCTCTCTCTGTCTGTCTCTCTCTCTCTCTCCCTCTCTTTGTCTCTCCCTCTCTCTCTGTCTGTCTGTCTCCCTCTGTCTCTCTCTCACTCTGTCTGCTGGATCCAGATGTTGATGCTGTCTCCGGATGTTCGATCCTCAAAACCCACAAAACAAGAGCACTTCCGTCGGAGCGATGAAAGTAAAAGCACTAACGATTTTTATAATAATGATAAATTCTTATAAAGAACTATCTGACCACGAGTAGAAAAAAATCAAAATAAAATAAGAACATTTAACATTTACAGGACTTCAGTTTAGTCCGGAAACTGTGGACGTCATGTTTAACATGTTAAACATGTTTAACATATGACAGATCAGAACAGAAAATAAAAACGGATAAATATTCAACTTTGATTATAAAATAAAACATTTAGACATGAGTTAAAAATATTAAAAAGACACTTGATCGAGCCTTTACTTTTATTCTGTGACGGTTTGGTAATCAATAACATTTTATCACTTTAATCTGAAAGGTTTTTTTAAAAAGCTTTTAGCTGCAGAATGACACTTTTAAATAAAGTTGAAAAAAAGTAATAAAAAACATCTTATTGTATCAAGTGTTTTTTATTTTATTTAAAATCAAACGATCAATCAGGAGACGTTTCTGCTTCAGTGTAAAAAGTAAAGTATTGATTAGTGATTTGAAATGTTTTGTTTCCTCTCACAGTGAATCTGAAGGTGCTGGTGATTGGACGGCTGCAGTGAACGCAGCGTTAAGGCCGCTCAGGTGATGCCACACAATGACTCCTCCCCTGAATCAATTCAAGTGTTAACGGTCACTGAAGCATCAAAGTGAAGCTGTGATTGGAAGTTTGTCTGTGAAATGCACCCTCGGAGTCGTGAGGTCATCTTCACTTCAACCAATTTCTTTGTCCAATCACATGAGGTCACAGCAAGTCCACACCATGACCTCTGACCCCTCAAAGTCCCTGACATTCAAACTATGGAGTGTACTTCCTGTAGTGATGTCAGTGTCTGTAGCACTCCGCTGTTGTCATAACAACATCTCTCATCATTCACCTGACCAGTCACAGCCAGAATTCTATCACATGACTATCGTCATGCCGACACATTGACGTCCCTCAGAGCGATGGCGGCCGTTGTCCCAGCAGGAGCAGCAGAGGCGGTTGCCGTGGCACCGGGCTGCGGCGGTGGTGAGGAGGGGGATATGACAGAGAGAGGCAAGCCGTTTTGATTGGTTGGGGCGGAGCTAGTCTGGAAGAGTATCTGCTGCAATGTTCGTCGAAGGTTTGGATGAAGGCGGCGCTGAGTCTGGTAGAAAATCTCCACAGCAACGCACTTCAACACCCCAGCAACCAGGTCCTCGTACAGCGGCACCGTGTACATCCTGGACGTCTGTTCAACATGATTGACAGCTGTCAGAGCTACTCATACGAGCTGTGGTCAATGAACGCAGAATAATACTCTTCATCAGCAGCAATACTGCAGTAATACTACAGCATGGTATTACTGCAGTATTAGTGTATGAGAAGTATCAGTGTTGAACATTGTTCTCACGTGTTTGTTCAGAAAGGCTCGGACTTGTGGGACGTCGGGATGGAACGTGTTCCTCACGACCATCTGAAGCCAACGAATCTGAACCTCAGCGTTCAAACCATCAAACAGAGACGAGTAACAACCAGACAGACTCAGCATCACATCTGAGGAGACAAAGACACAGAGTCAGAGAGACAGACTCAGAGAGACAGACTCAGCATCACATCTGAGGAG